AAACACTCAACAACATTTTACTATATAATGCATTACAAAGATGGAGTGTGATGCAGAAGAATGTATACCTCATATGTGACTGCCCATTTACCCCCACGGAGAGGTTTGTGGTAATAATTCATATTACCAATGTACAAGCTTCTACCTTCGGGTACTTTCTTCACTTCATTGATTACTGCGCCAAGTTTTACAAATGTATCATCGTCACACTTCATTATGTACTTTGCAGAGTATGCAAGAGCCTGCAACAATCAAATCTCATTGTTTTCAGCACAAGAACTTCATCAAAGAACTATTATGTGGAAGCATGTCCTATATGACTCACTCCGTGTTCACATATGGCAACAGTTTTCAGCACGACAAGATCATAGCTATCCATGTAAGGAACAAGTACAATGTCACCAAAATACTCTGCTTCTTTCTTCAGTTCCACATTCACCTCTTTCCTCCCATGCTGTTGAAAATCCAGACGCCTCTCAATTATCAATCTTTCAAGACTTATACTACTTGATGAAACAATGTAAAAATCCAACTTACAAGTGCCACAAAGAAACGAGCAACAACTTTTGAAGATGTAATAAGAACATGCTGCATCCATGACTTCCTCACAGCCATCCGTTCTCCAAAATGATTGCCTGCTGAAAGAATGCCGATAAAAAGCTCCACAGGCCCATCAGGAACTAAAGGAGCCTGCCATCTTTTTGACAACTCGAGATGCCTTTGAGGAGCAAAACTGGGATGTGATGTTGGTAGAGAGGCAACAACCACAGAATGAACATCAATGTCTCCATTCACAGTTAGTCCTGTTGCATCCTCCAGAGTGAAACCCTATTTATACATAAAAGAATCAGCTAACTCAATGCTATGTAACTGAACACAATTATGTAGATATATATACTCACAGTGCGATAAGGGAAGGATGTAACATGCTGTCCATCAACATTGATATGGTAACCTTCTAAACCAGCGCTAAGAGTGAGAACAAACAGCTTCTCTTCCACAAAAGGAAACGGCCATTCAACTTTAACTCTTTTCCTCCTTCCTATAAGTCTATTCAACCACCATCTCGCCCTAGACCCTTCTGAATAACTATCATCATCACGGATCCACTTCTCACACTTCACATGACTATCAACTACAAAACAACACTAAACTATATTACTCAAACAGAACACAAAACAGATAAACCAAATCACAAACCTCACTCACCAGTCTCTTCCTCAGCTCTTGACCTCCACCCTTCACACCGTTGCGACGACCCCCACTGCATCCTATAACAAGTGTTCTGCTCAATCACCGGCTTCCTACTCCAATCACCCTTAAGCCTCGGGTTAAAATGCAAGATCCGAGGAGGATCCTCTCCATCAACAGTCTTCAAACCTTGAAGCTCAATAACAAACTGAGAAACAAGCATAGACCCATCTCCTCCTTTAGGATAACTCTTCCTCGGCCTCCCAACCAAAGTAATATGCGAACCCAACGTCAAACCACAAGGCAACTCCATCAACTTATTCTCCCGGTTCATAAACTCAGACCCGGTTAACGAAACAGAGTGTGGACAAGAATCAGTCTTGTTCTTATTCTCAGGCTTCTCTATCGCTTTCTCAAGCCTCCCTGACTCAAGCTCCTTCCACAGCTTCCTCCCTAGCTGCCAAGCCTCCTTAGCTGACTTGTGAAGCTCCACTGACCCGTCTTTGCTACTCGGGTCGAAAGTCTCCGAATCGAATCTAAGGCTTGAGAGAAGACCTCTGTGATGCTCTTCACGGACGTTATTCCGGTTTAGGGTCGGTTTAGAAGGTGGATCAGGAGGGGTTATCTCGACTTGAGGCGGCGGCTCGTGATGCTCTGTTTCGAGCTTGTGCTCGGGGCGTGAGAGAGAGTCGATGGAGACGGAGCTTGTGGTGGAGGACCAGGATTTGAATACGAGAGGGATCTCTACTGTGACCATTAGGAGATAGAGAAGGCCTATTGCTATGATTACACGGAAAGGCCTCTGTTTCCATAGTGATGAGAAGAGATCGAGTTTGTCGAGTTTTTCGGTTTTTGACGATTTGGGTTTCTTCATTTTTGCTTATGATCCACGTAATTGAAGATAAAAACCCTAACTTTGCATTTAGAGCGATAAAGTTCGAAACTTTGTTCACCGAACACGAATGAAAGTTAAAAAACAGAGGACGGTGATGATGATGACGAGAAGTGGAGAAGGAAGAAAAAAAGAGATCTTGGTGCTTAAGATACGCATAACTTTGGTATTTTTGTAAGGCGTAAGTTAGTAAAAGTCTTTTCTATTTTATTAAATTATTTTTTCCAAATCTAAAGTTGAACAGCATTATAGCATTTGTACAGAGAATAAAGATTCTTCCAGTTTCCGATGTTACATTATTGTTGTGTTATACGAATTTGAATGCGTCACATGTGTGGCACAAGGCCATAAATTAAACGAGTAGTGAAAAGCAACATACAGTATTTTACAGGTTTGAATAAACTATCCCGCCATTAAGGCCCAATGGGCTTTCTTTGCCAACGTATTATGGTTTCTCCTTCAAGCTTTCCTCAATTCCATAGTCACCATGCTTATTGTATACACTATATATAGCCTTAGAAAATTGGGTTGTTTTGGATTTGACCCTATGACCACCAGACTGGATAAGAATAAGATGGGTTTGAGGGAAGACACATAAAAGTTTGAATGTTAAATGAATATTGAGTAGCTGTTCACTCAAATCACAAATAGACTAAAAACAATAAATGAGTAGCTGTTCATGACTCTGAAGGAGTTATAGCAACAAAACTACTAAGCATGTGCAAATTCTGAGATATCTGCAATAGCATTGCTTCTCCTTCACTAACATCTATAACATCTGCCAAATGTTTCAACAGTTCACCATCTGATTGAAGAGCACTTAGCCTCTCTGTCATCTCTGATAGCTCTTTTACTATCCCTTCTTTGCTCACTTTTCCTGCTCAGTTTCATCACAACAACACAAAGATTTAAAAAGAGTTTTCTCATCAGAATAAGATAAAAGAACACAAACTCAAACCTTTCTCTTCCTCTCCAGATGCACCATTTTCTGTGTTAGCCTCCTCTGAGCTTTTCATTTGTACTAAAATTCCTGGTTCTTCGGATTTACAAGACCTATTTTGGTCAATGTTTTCCACAACCTCCTCATGATTTGAAGAACAATCTTCAAAATCAGAGACTGCATTTGTTTCTTGACCATCAAGAAATTCTTCATTTGAGGCGTCATCATCTGCCCTAGCGTTACCTTGTTCCTCAAGAAACTCATCTCCTGAGGCTTCATCATCGGTTAAACATCCGTATCTCTCTCTGTAAGCCTCAAATTCAGCTTCAAGCTCCTGATATTCCATTTCCTTCTTTGCCAAGTCACTACTCATAGACTGCAAAGCTTCTTGGTCATACTCTGCTTGTTCATCCATCATTCTTTGGTACTGCAATGCCTCCATTTGAATAGCCGATTTTTCGGCTTGTAGCTTCGTGATCATAGCCATTGCGTTGTTGGCTGCAACAGCTGAAGCACTTCTCTCTTCATCTAACTCCATGTAAAGATCTATCAGTGACTTCTTGTCCAAGCGAACCTCTTTCTTGAGCTGATTAAGGATGGATTCATCTTTTGAATCAGTTATGTCTGTCTTATCCAAAGAGGGCTTCTTGAAAGATCTAACGGACCATCTTGGACTGTTTTGCGCTGAATCAGACAGAGGAAACCCAAAGAACTTGTTACCTCCTCTTACAGAACTCGGTGTTCTTTCCTCCACATCAAAGTCCTTAAACTCAGACTCATTTTCAGACAGCTTGTTGTATGAAACCCTAGGAGAAGGAGCAGGAGCAAGGAAAGAATTGTTCTTCTTTAAAAACTTTTCAGTTTTCGTCTTCAATAATTCTCCACAACATGAACAATGTTGTTTCAATCCATCGTTGTTGTTTGTCTTGTAATCCATCAGATGTGTTTTTGTTGTCTGAACAAGATTGTCATCTTTCTTGAGCGCCAAGGGAGGGTCACGTTCATCCTCAATGAGAACCTCAAGATCTTTGTGTAAGATCCCAATGAGAGACTTATACGTATCACAATCAGATTCTTTCTCTGTAGCGAAAGAGAGAAGACATCCTTCACACATGTGTTTGATCTCAGAGAGTTTCTTGTGGACATGGCAATAAGCGAGGGAAGAGATTTTCTTCTTGTGAGAGTCGCAGATCGATTCGTTGTAATAGAAATGAGGATCCCTAGGGACGAGAACGTGGTCGATTCTGGTGCAGAGGAGACAAGGGTGGTGTAGATCGAAGAATCTAGCGAATTGGTTTGATAGAAAGGCGAGAACACCGTCGACGAAGAGGGTGGTGATGAGAATCCATTCAAGGGTGGTGTAGATTAGGAATTTAGGGAAAGATCCGAGTTCTTGTTCAACGAATGTCTTGAAAGAGCGTTTGAACATGGTTACTTGTAATAGAAGAAACAAGAACAATAAGAAACAGAGGAAATGTATTATCATGTGTGATCAAGCTTGGTCAATAAATCAACAAGAAACAGATCATGATCTCTCTTTTTGTGATTTGTGTTTCTATTTATGGGTTGTTGTGAGTGTCTAAAACAGACTATATTAGACTGGGACAATGGACAAGTTTAGAGATACAAATGTCAAGACCAAAACAGAGGACATGCCAACACACATATGAGTGCATGACATAAACATAGATATGTATATATGATGATGTTTGATTAATGAATGGGGATCATGTTCTGTGATTGGAAGATTATTGCTTACGTAACAGGTAATGTACCTAATCATCCCACACTAAAACTATATATAAAAAAAGAATATGGATTTTGATGGGACAAGAAAAAGCTCCACTATAATGAAGGTAAACCAATAACATGAGACATTATTGGAATCATTAAAGATAATGGCATTATTCCACAAACCCTACAACACCTCATCTCTTTGGACACCAGATATTATATTTAAAACCCTGAAAACCCCTGTGAATCACCAATTATTGATAGAGATGGCCACCACATGAGAAGCAAGTACGGCTCATGAATGAAACATAACGTTAATATAGTTTTTATAAGCTTTGATGATAGATCCACACGAATGACCAGATAAGTAGTATTACAACAACTTCCAAGCATGGAAGGAAAAAGAAAAAAAGATTGATGATGAAAACCCTAAAAAACCAAACTTAGTAACTATTCTCCAAACTCCTCTGTCTATTATTCTTCTTTAACACAGGTCTCTTCAGCCAAATACATAGGAAAATCTCAAGACCTATCTGTACAACAGAGAAACAAACAAGGTGCATGTGTTGCATATTCAACCTTTTTCGGATTTGCTCTAAGCAACTCCAATCGTGTTGAATACTGAGTGCCTTGAAGAAGAAGGTTCATTAAGATTAGATGAGGCTAGTGTGAGGCTGAGTGAGATCGGTTCAGGCCTTGCTTGAAAAGTATATGGGACCATGTTGATTAAGTTAGAGGAAGAGTGATGTCCATAAGATTGAATCCCTGATGTATTATTATCACCAGATGGAAAGACTTGCATAACCGGGTGTATAGAGAAGTTGTTGACTTCATGTTGTGGTGTGTTCTCCTGCATAAGCACTTGATCTTCTTTCATGGGCATGACCTAATGATAAAAACAAGCAAATGATCTGTTAGTTATGCTAAAGGTTTCACTATAGATTATCCAACTCTAACCACCTAAGCTAACCAAGCTAAAGTGACAAAAGTAAAAGAGATGTTACCGTATCAGTTGTCATGTCAAAAAGACTAGATCTTCGCCGGCGACGGTTGAGATTACTTCGCCGGAGAAAGTATTTCTGAGCATGACTAGCTACTTGTGTAGAGGTCCTGGTCTTGACAAAGTTTTTAGATATTCCTTTCCAATCTCCTTTCCCTACTTTCTGGAGCCCAAGCAAGAACAGCTTGTGCTCTTCCTCAGTCCATGGAACTCCTGTTTCAACAAAAACCAAGAGTCAACAAAAAGACAAATCTCTAATCATTAATCAGACAAAAACATGTTTTAGTTCTGTCTAAAGATAAGAAACAGAGTATATGATCCGAAACTTAAGACAGTATACCTCGTTTCCTCTCGCGGATAGAAGTTATCGGGACAGCTTCGTCCACCGAGGCGTAACCAGAGGAGGTTTTGTTCTTCTCTTCCTCGGAGATGATCTTTGGGATCTCTTCCGTATGTTCATACTCAGACAAGTTGTTCAAACTCACACTCTTTCTCATCGGATCAAGAACAACTCTGACACCAAACAGCATGATCTCGCTACTGATGCAGCCACTCTCCGATGAACAGCTACTAACGTCGGCCATTTTACTCACCGGAGCTTTTTCTTACAATGTTAAGGAATCAAAAGTACAAAGTAAATGGAAAATGGAACGGTGGTGGTGTGAGTAGTAGATCTGTGCTTTGAGTTTTATAAGCCAAAAACCACGTGGTTCTTTCTTAAATTATTACATGTTGTAGTTGTTTATGATGTTACATACGACACGTGTCTAGATTATATTCGTCTGTCATTATCTCTCTTTGTTACCGTACTGTCTCTTTTCATATTTTCTATTTGGATAGACTTTTTTTATTTCATTGGCTGACTAGATATTATTGGTTTATTGAGGTCTCCAGCTATTGTTTTTGCTCAAGATATCTTATCGTATGTATAAAAAAATGTTACTTTTTATGTAATATATATTAACCTTGTAAGATTATTTATGATAAAATGAAGGGTTGTAACGTACTATACGAATCTGGTCAACTCAAATGTCCCTTCGTAAGCGCATGCAAGTTGATGTTAGAAAAATAGTCAGCTTCTGAAATGATTCTGTACTATGCTCTTATAATATCAAGTTACAGCTACAACCTAGTACTTTATTTTATAAAGAACTATATCTTGTCTATCTTTGAGTAGATCTCTAAAAAGACCTTGGAGACAGGTAAATCGTTATTGATAATTATAACTTCTAATAATATAAACTTAAACAGAGTATAATAATAACAAAAAATATTTTATTGAACTATATTTGTTGATAGTTGAGTTGATTGTAAGATTAATTTTTAAAATGGTGTTAGGACCTAATTTAACTATAAACAGCATAATCATCATACGTTGATCATTCGCAAGTGTAAGCCTGCAACATTAACTAAATAGGTAAATGATGACAATAGCTAAAAAGTATACAGATAATTTTGGTAAATAGTTTTGGAAGACAGCAAAAACACACAAGGCACTAGCATCGGTTAGAAAGCAAAGACACAATTACTTTTATGCACACAAAGTGCAGACCTAGGAGTAGTGTGTACAGCACTAAAAGAAAGAGTTTCCTTTCTCCTTTATTTTTCTGTCTTTTTTTACCAATTTGGATGAGAAGCTTGCTGTGACTTTCCTAAATCAGAAAATAAGCATGAGAAGGAGAGAGAGAAAGCAGATGAATCACTACTCATAAGCATGAAGGAGAATCTTTCATAGCAACTAGTTTATTCTTTATCCTGGGTGGAGTTGTTGTGTTCCACTGGGTCATTAGTGTGTTCTAAGTTGGATAGGGAGATAGTGAGAGACCATCATAGATGTGACAAGCAAACACTAGAGGTTGAATATATTACAGCAGCTTTTTTAGCTTCATAGTAATAACCAGAAAGACAGACGAAAGGAAAAACAATACATCTATGGCTGCAAAATCATGGGTCTGGCTAACAATTCCATCAAAAGATTTAGTTTGCTACTTTGACATTTTGTAGCATCACTTCTGCATATAAACTAAGACGACCATTTATCTTCTTCCTATATGGACTCTTCTGTCTATCAGAGGCTGACACTACTGCTTGGCACCACCAACATATTATCATGAACATAGAGTGCAGGTGAATGACTAGAAGTACAGTTTTCACTAACCAGTTTGGATCGAGAAAGACAGAAGAGGCCTTTGGTTTGCTGGTAATAACGCACACTGGTTAAGCTGGGCTTCCTGCTAGTTCTTTTTTCATCTTAGTTCTTCTTTGGGAAGGGTTACCGCCGCTGTTGTTCGTGTCACTGCTTGTTAAAGTTCTTGTTCCAGCAGCAAAAACTGGTGAGTTTGTTAAAGCGACTAGGCTAGTTTTTGGGGACTCTTCTGAAGTTGGTTCTTGAGTAGACAGTAACTGCTTGAGCTGAGACCGTTGGCACATAATGCGACCTCCGTTCCATCCTGTGAAGGAAAATGACGACGAGACATGATCCTGTAAGAAGGAGAAAGCTGCTTTCGTGATGGGAGATTCTCTTGCAGCAGAGCTTTTCTCCAATTGTCCCCGTCTGCTAAAAGTAAAATAAGTTACAGAAGGCAAAAGACAAGACCAAAACATAATCTCGGAAGCATAATGAAATGAGTTAGTCAGCATCAAAGTACTTACACTGAAACAACTACTGCTAGTTGAGGAAGATCCTGTCCCTTTACAAGCATATCACTTAGATCATTTAGCCAAACCGATAGCGCCGTGTACATGCCACCCTCTGACATTCTGCAGAACATCGATAACCAGTTATTAGATTGACTGGTACACAACCATTTCATAGAATTTAAATGAAACCAGCGTAAGGCTCTTGATCTACCTATGCACATCAACAGACCACACGAGTTTGTTTCTACGGAATAACTCAGGGAAAATTCCACGTTTTGTTGCCTCATTGAGTACCCTTGCAGCTCGCTCTTTCTGGCCCAGCCACCACAAAGCATCTAGAAGAGCATTGTAAAACCTTATTCCCAAACCACATCCTTCTGAATTGAGTTTGTCTAAGACATATTCCACTATCTGCCAATTTGAGTCATCATCATAATCTCCCTTGATCATTTGCCCGATAACTTGATGAATATTTGATACTCTATTCGAAAGCATCTCCTCCAGTAACTCATTGGCATCGTCCCACCTGAAAACAAAAAAATGGAAGACAAAAGTTATTTGCAAGAAAGTCACCAGGGTGCTATATTTCACTATCATGTCTCTCCAATGCCTGCCCATGTAGGAACACAAGGAAAACTGGAAGAGCAAAATGCTATGACGATGGAATAATCAATCATTCTGGCGAAGATATTAACAGTTTAGGAACATGGCTCGTGGATTGATACACATGGATGTCAGGGTAATCGTCTTGGTCAAATCCTAAAATGAAATGTATTTGAAGCTTATCTAAACTCTAAAGCTCAGACTAGTTATGGCTGAGTCATGAGATTGCAACCACCATGTAATTTCTGCAATTGCCAAGTGAATGCATCTAGTGGGAACTGAACGAAACTACTAGATTTACCACACTTTATTTATCTTCTATCCTTTCTCATACATTCGCGTGAGTGTTATACTTGAGTCTTATTTATGAATGGGCAATAAGAATATAAGGAAAGACAACATAAGATAGAGCGTGATACTGGTGAAGGCACTAACCTCTCCGTTTTTCCGTAAACAGATAGCATCATACAGTAGCACATGATACTGGGTAGTATATCAGAAGCTTTCATCTCCTCAAACTGCTCCCTGCACTCATCAACAAGTCGTGCACAAGAATACACACTTAAAACAGCCTCAAGCGTCCTCTCATCAGGATCACATCTTGACTTCTCCATATCTACATATGTCTTCACAGCCTCTTCAAATTTGCCTCCTTGCTTGTAGGCTTCGATTGTCGCATTGAAAGTATCTCTGTTCCTGGGAATACCAGAATTCACCAACCTGGACAAAATCACCTCTGACTCCTTGAACAGCCCTCCCCTTGCAAAAGAATACAACAGCGAGTGGAATGTCTCAATACTTGGATTGCTTCCCACTTCATGCATGGTGTTAAACGCAACAAGTGCTTCTTCATATAAAGCAGCTTGCCCAAACGCTTCAATAACCCCAGTGTACGCCTTCGAACTTGGCACCACATCCTTAGCCGTCATATATTGCAAAATCTTCCTAGCATCTTCATGAAGTCCTCCCTTCCCACAAGCAAATATTATACCCTCATAAGTCTCCATATCAGGTTCAATATCCTCCTCCACCATGTCGTGAAACAAAGTCACAACCTCCTTGAAATACCCACCTTCCCCAAAAACATCAATCAAAATATTATACGTAGCAGCATCAGGATCCGTATTACTAGACTTCATCTCTAGAAAAAGCTGTCTAACATCATCATACCTCCCACTCTGTCCAAACAAATTCAACAAAACACTATACGTATTCGCGTTCGGCGTACACCCTGCACCCTGCATCTGATGAAAAACCCCCATCGCCTCCTTAATCGACCCGGACTTCGCATAAGCCTCCAACAATACATTATAAGAAGTAATATCCGGCAAACTCCCCCCTGAAGCCATCTCACTCAACAAATCAGAAACCTTCTCCAACCTCCCCAACTTCCCAAACGTCTCAACGAGATGACTATAAGTAGCTAAATCCGGAACTACCCCACCATCATTCATAGTCCTGAAAACCATCTCAGCCTCATCACCCAATCCTCTAATAGCACAAGCACTAAGCAACGTGTTGTAAGTCACAATATCAGGTTGTATCCCTTCATGTCTCATCTCAGCAAACAAACCTAACAAACCTTCCCAATCTAACCCTCCTCTAGCACAAGCGTTAATAACCGTATTATAAGTCAATATGCTCGGCGAGATCCTCTCCTTCTTCATCCCATCAAGAAGCTCAAGAGACGTCTCGTAACGTCCGTTACGCCCATAAGCATTAATCAACGCCGTGTACGAGAACACGCTCCTCGCGACGCCTTGGCTCGGCATTTCGTCGAACACCTCGAGGCACTTGTCGAGCAAACCTTCTCTCCCGAGCAACGAGATCATGATCGTGTAGATGTGCTCGTTAGGTTTGCACCAGATCTGCCGCTGCATGTACTTGAAGAGGCGGAGGGATCTCTGCCAGTCGCCGCGGGACGCGAACTCCTTGAAGACGAGGGAGAAGTCGTTGAGGGAGAGCTTGTTTTTGAATATGTCGAGGCATCTCGCGATGCTGCCACGTGGAGGGAGGCTGCTGAGTTTGTTGATGAGTGATTCGACGTCGTAGGAGTATTTGCCTTTCTCCACGGAGACGGAGGGGTTTCCGAGGACGAGGTCTTTGGTCTTGGCGTTGATTTTGGTGAGGGTGGGGGGCTTTTTGGAGCCGGAGAGGAAGGTGAGGCGGTTTGGGGTGGGGAATTGGCGGTTTGTGGTGAAGGTGGGGTTTTGGATGAGGAAGGAGAGGTGGTGTGAGTTTGGATTCGGGATTGCGAGGTTCATTTTTTTGAAGTCACTTAGAAGAGTTTGTTTCTCTCTGGTGAAATGGCGGAAGAGTGGAAGGAGAGGGGAGGGGCTTGAAGAAGACACGTGGATTCTTATTGTGGATAACAGTCTCGAGGGATCAACCGGTTATTACTCGGTTTTACATAATGCCTTCCGGTTAAAATTTGGTTGGATCGAAATTCGGTTGGACAAAATTTGGCGCTTAATCCATAAGAAAATATTTTTAACCATGATTCATCGCATTTTAAATTATGAAAAATTCTATTAGAACCAGTAATTTATTTAGTTTCTGATAATTCATGATTCTACTTGCACAATACGGAACCGATTTATAAAAATTTGGTATATAACTATTTTACTTTAATCATGCTAAATATTTGTTATATATATTTTTTAATTCGTTTGTATAGTTATTAATAAAATTGTATTTGGAATTTGAAATATATATTTTATTGTGGAAATATATTTTTAGTCAAAAATTTGACTAAAACCTTTATAAAGAAATATGTTATTTTTACTCTTGATTATAAATCTTTTTATATATTCTTTTTCTGTTTTTTTTATCTAATTAATTATGTTATTATAAACTATGAGAAATATTACATAGACAATATTACAGCTGATAATTCTAACTGCGTTATACGGATTTAGCCGATAATTATATCTGTCTTATACAGATTTACGTCTGACTCCATCATCATGCATTATTATTATTAGTTTTTTGATAATTAGATATTCTTCCAGAGGATGCTCTTCACTAGTCAGCATACTGATATTTAACATATACTAAAATACCACATTCCAACCCAAAATATGTACATTTTTATTTACTTGTTAGTTGATAACGCAGTAAATTGTTGAGTGCTGTCAGGTGAGTTGAAAAAATCAAACGTTGCTATTGCATGTCATGAAATTTTTAATGAGGTAATAAATTGAAGTGTGGGGTAAGTAAAAAACATTTAAAACAATATATAAATAGCAATCGCCTAAAATGTGAAAAGCGAAAGCGATTTACGAACAGATTGGCGCAAACAACGGGAAACCGCACCGCCGTTTGCAGTTTACAAAAGCAGAGAGGATGACGTGACGTTTATTAATGTGGCGTTTGAGTAATAAAGTGGATTACTCATGGGCATATAAGTCATTTAACACTTTCTGTTCCTAACAGACAGACGCTTCAACTAAAAAGAAAAAAAGAACCAACCTTTTTCGTCTTGGCGAGTCTTCGACCTTGGTCGGAAAAACCAAAAAAAAAAATCATAATCGCTTCTCCGCAACCGCATTATCGACTTCAATGGGAGACTCAGAGGTATAATTACCTCTTTACCCCTCAATCTCATCTGTCTCTCGAGCTTCTTCTTTCGATTCCCTGTGATTTTTTCTTTTCCGAGTTTTCTCGTTTAAGTTTCGTCCTGTTTCATCGTATCATCGATTATCTTACAGACAAAACCTTGTTTCTTGCTCTAAGCTCCGAGTTTGGTTGATTTTCTTTCTGGGTTTGCGATGATTTGTTTTTGTTGTTGGTGGTGTTGACAGACCTTAGCGGCGTTGAAGAGAGCTTACGCAGATACGATACTGAACACGACGAAGGAGGCGGCGGCGCGTGTGTTGTGTTCTGAGAAGAAGACGCGTATGTATCAGCAAGAGATTAAGACGGTTAGAGATGACGCTGTCAATACATTGCTTAGGCTTAAACATATGTATGACTCCAAGGTACGATAACTCTGAAGGCCTTTGCTTGATTCTCAATTTTGTGTTCTTTGTTCGTTTTCTATGTTCCTGTTTGGTTTCTGCCTGATTATGTGTTTTGGACTTATAGTTCGACTCCGAGCTGATTGGGCATGGAATTGAGAAGCATTACATGATCTTTGAGTGTTTTGTGGAACTCATGCTTTGTTGTTTTCTTGTTTTGTTGCTTTAACATAAGATGGCGTTTGAAAACAAGTTTCTTAACCAAAGCTTACATTGTTTTGATGCATAGTGAATATCGGCTATCTGTGTGCTTGTGAGTTTTCTTAATGTGTTTTTTTTTCAATGCGTTTATTCAGTCCAATGTTTTTACACTTTGAGCTTGTGACTAATGTTACATTAACACTTTGAGCAGATTGAGCTTTTTCATTCATCCACTTACTATAGTTCACGAAACTTAAAACTGATTGTTCTAATAGTCCAGTACCAATAGCTTACGTTAAAAAGATTTTAGCAACATGTTCTGAATCCACCACTCATTTGAATAGATTCTTTTACAATGTTTTGTTAGTGAGGCTTATACACAAATTGTTTGGCATATGCTCTGATCTCAGTGTGCAATTTTTAAGTGAAAGGTGTCTCAACGTGGGGATATAGCTGTTCTGTGGCTGTGCTTTGCATTTGGTCCTCAACTCTAATTTTAAAGAAACTCTTTGTGGATTTTTATAGATCAAGGAGACAGAGGAGATGTCCTTGAAGCAGCAACAAAAGGTTGAGGAACTTGAAGCTCAACTTGGAGAAGCTGAAGATATTGTAGGAGAGCTGAGGATGGAACTGCGAGCACTTCATGATGAGTTCAATAGAGTTACGAATGCTCAGACATCATATCTTAATGGTGATCATCAGGAACCCTCTTGTCTGAAAAACAGCAACGCGGCAGGTTCTGTAGTGCCTAAGGTTTCTAGCGGTCCGGAGCGATCAGGAGTGGCTAATGGGATAACAAACCCATCTTTGACTCGCATAAACAGTATTAAACGGTGTTCTTCTAAAGGTAACATGGATCGTTGTCACCACACTCTTCCGTCTATACTTACGAAACGCAGGGAAGTTGAAGGGTATGCTCAGATGTTCCACTCAGTAGATAAGAGGTTGGCCAATGGAGATCTGTCTTCCTCTGTAGAAGTGGAAGATGTGAATGATGGAGTGTGTCTTCAAAAAGTTTCGTCTTGTAAAAGTGTAGAGACGTTGGAATTGTCTGGTTGTGCTGATATCACTGACCCAATGGTGTCTCAAAACACTTCTCAGATGGATTTTGGAACTCCAATACCCTTGGAAACATTTTCAAAGGAACATGAACAGAACAGAAAGTCTATGATTAGCGGAATAGAGGCAAGAAACGAAGAAAAAGAGAGCTGTGGGAATATTGAGGTTTTGACATCTCCTTCTTGTGAAGAAACTCCAGTTTTGGCTGCTAGTAAGAACCGGTCCATCAAGTACACATTCAAGAGGAAGAGAAAGAAGGAGGCTTTAAGTAATCTTGAAGGAGATTCCACCTTTGAAGAGAGCAGAAACATTAAACAGAAAACTGGGGAGAAAGACGATGGTTATTTGGAATCTCTGAAGCCTAGCTTCACCAGTGAATCATCTCGAGATGCTCTATGCGTAGCACAGGTTGCTCGGCAGGTTAGTAAATCTTAGCAATGCATCTAGTTCTCTATATTTATACTAAGCTCATTCTTGTTTTTTGAGAACTTGTGAGAATATGGTTGGTTACTTCTCCCTCTAGCCGTCTAAGTGTTTGGTCTGAAAGCTGATTTTTCACTAGTAAAGGCCCCTTCATTGTTGTATGTTCTGTATAAACTCATGTCACATTTGGTGGTGGGTGGTTTATGTTTATGCTAACTTTCTCAGGCGTAATTGTTCTGTTTTCTTGGCTGCAGCTTGAACCATACTCGAAGCAGAACGGTTTTGCAGCAGAACTAGTCAACCAGTAGGATCCTCCCTGGACTCGCAAGTAACCTTCAAGTCCTAATCATCAGTTGCAGTCTATCTGTCCATGATTGATCACTAGCGTTAATAGTAAAGTATTTCTCTAATATATAAAATGTTATTACTTTTGATTTTGAGTCAAAATTTAAGTTTTATGTGATATGGATAGATGGAAACTTTAAATTTTTACGCCTGGATTGGTCCAAGAGGTATCATTGTATGATATCTCAAACCATTTTGTGTTTTACTTTTATGTAAATAATATCTAACTAGAAGTCTTTTATCTTTATCATTTGGTCAAAGTTTTTTTTTTGTTGAACAACAAGTCATTTGGTCAAAGTTATTTATGGAAATATGGAGTGTGAGAACATGGACCATCGTCTGCCTAAAAGAGGCAACCTTATGTGACATCGTCATCAGTCGTCTGTTTTAAAACTAGTGAAGAATTGACCATTCATAATTACTATCGCCTTCAAAAAGAAAACATTTCTTTCCCATGCTGTAATTACTCCAAGGAAGACTTAGTTCAATCAAATATTAAGATTCGAGTTTTTAATAATTATAGACTCATAGTGGTTGCTAATTCAAAGTTGATAATATATATATACAGTGTTCTGGGAAATATTTTGTTTCAAAAATATGTATATTCTATGTTTTCTATGAGAAAATTACAAGTTTCAAAAATAATAATTGGTTTTATTAGATTACCATTGACTAAACATTGTTGAAAATTGAAAATTACTGAAAAATATAGTGATTTAATGTGTTTTTTTAATATGTGTGAAAACACTAGAAAGTTTATATTTTAGGAACAGAGGGAGTATGTATGATGATTTAAGAAAACGTTGCTTATTTTCTAAATTATCCACAAACTCTGAAATGAATCTAGGAATCAAAAAACTTTAAATTCACTTAAAACTAAATTATTGAGTTATATACTATAATAAAAATACAGAATGTCCTAGTTATGGTAATGTACATCTTTGATAAAAAAAATTTCATATATACTGAAAATAGATTTAAACGTAATACCTAGAAATTAATAATTAATTAATAACACTTAATTTCGTAAGTTAGAAAAATATATAGGTGTTGCTTTACATGGTCACCATTCAAAATGTATTCAATTTTTTTAATGGAAAAGTTGAATAAATGCCTTGCAGTCCAAGGTTGAAACTCAACAACTCCAGCGGACTCGACGTCGTTTAACCCATAACAGCGACCAAATAGAAAACACCAAGGGTACAATGGTAAATTAACTGAATGAGCATAATTATATACATACACACAGAGAGAGGCTTGAGTTCTTTGGAGAGTGAGAAATACAAGGAACGTTGCAGAGCAGTTTCCGTTTCTCATCTCTCTCTCTCTCTTAGGGTTTGCTTTTCTCTTCTACATTACTCCCTGAGTGCGTCCGTGTCCTCCTTGAAATTACTCCGAAGAAGAGAGATGGTCATGGTTGCTGATTCCGTCACAGATTCTCAACTCTTTAATGACTCTCCGACATCGAAAGATTTCGTCAAGAAACGTAAGGTGAGCGTGATTTCCATAGAAACGTATAATAAACCATGCGTTGATTATGGATAGATCTCAGATTTTGAATGTGAATAACGTTTAGGGAAATTAGTTTTGATGAATCGTCATTGATGTATAACCTGTGCTTTTGTAACGTTCTTTATGTATACGTTGAATCTTTTGTACGCAGGCGAATTGGTTTTGGAAGCTGAAACAGTGGAAGATTGATGCTCGTCGCAGGCAATGGATTTATCAATGTATATAACACGTTGAATATTGATTTTTCAGTTTTTGATCAATTATTATGAATGTTGATGATGACTTTGTTTGTGAAAATATGGTTAGGGAAGAGAGCAAACGTAGGGGAAGTAGGGATGAGATCTTTGCGTGAGAAACTGACTGAGAGAAAAACAGTTTCTTACCTTGAAGCTTGGAGTATTGATGATGATCATGATGGACTACGATGCTATGGATTCTCCAAATCTGATGATGATGATGATGATAGTAATGATGATGAGGATGAGAGTGATCTATCTGCTAGTAGCCCCACGAGTGTCCTCAAGAACAAAGATTCCGTTAATAACAAGACTGTGCACGACTGCTTCTGTTGTTCTAAGCAGATCACTGAGGAAGAGGAAGAAGCTTTTGATGACGCCTATGACAATTGGGAAGATTTTAGCGATGCCTTGAACAGCTTTGAGAGCGACGTGCCTTTACCAGAGAAGGCGGTTCATCATCACAGAGTCAGTAGAAAGAACAATAAAGATAAGTGCAAACAAGAAGAAGCTTCACCAGAGAAGGCGATTCATCACAATGGTATCAGTAGAAAGAATAAGAATAAGAAGAAGTCTGATAAGAAGAAAGAAGGTGGTGGTGATGAGATAAGTGAATGTCCTATCTGCTCTGAAGAGATGGATGCAACGGATCTAAGCTTTTTGCCATGTCCTTGTGGGTTTCGGCTATGTCTATTTTGCCATAAGCAGATTAATGAAAACGATGGACGTTGCCCAGCTTGTAGGAAGGAGTATGAGCAGATAAGTAGTAACAGTGGTGGAGAAGTTAGTTTCCAGCAACGTGGCCGTGGCACAGTTCGTTTGTCTCCGTCGTTTAAAGGACTTGACATAGCTTAAGTGAGTAATAAGATCAAGAGTTTTCATGGAACCTTAATATAACTTTTGTGTTTACTTTAGTATCTCAGGAACAAACAGTTTTGTTTAGATTGTCATCACAGGAATAAAGGAGTGTGGATTGGTTTTAGGTAATGTAACTAAGGAAGCTGGAATTTTTATTGTAAGATTCAGTCTCATCACATTCTTTACATTACACAAAGGTTTTTTTTTGACTATGGTAACAATATGATACTTTTGTCAAAGTCTTGAAGATATGATTATGGTGGTTCACTGTTGTCATTCATCTCACCTTAACCGCAGGGTTCTTCTTGTGGAGTCTCTATAGTCGCTCGTAAACCAGTTTCTCAGACTGCATAAGGAACCAATTAACACATAAAACAATCATGACTTGCTATGAGGATAGTGTTACATTTTGTTGATGTTCTCATAAAATTTTGAGTACCTTGATAAGCATATCTGTTGGTAGCCAAGCCGGTGCGGTTGGGATACCAACCCATCCAACCTAATATCTCCAAGAAATTCGTGATTCCATTATCTTATAAATCTGTTTATGTATGGCTAATGAAACAGAATAAACAATTTGTGTGGCAACCAACTTACAAGTGCATACTCTCCTGTCTCAAAGACACGAAGGTCCAGGACCTGCAAGATTTAGCAAGACTGAGTTAAACTTCTTGTCTTGGCGATAAGGGATTGAATTCGAGTTATACCTCGCCGCGATCTTCGTAGATGTAATCTAGTCCTTTGTAGAAAGGAGGATGACCAACTGATAAGTACTGTAATCACAACAGATGAAGATAAAACGTTTCAGAGACAGGATTTCAAAGAAGGAAGCTTCAAAACAGAGAAAAGCTTTGACACTACGTTGATGCTGTTGAGGTACTTCTCCTTGTCTACACGAACGATTTGTCCCTTCTTCACTGTTCAAAAATTCAAAAGAACTATCATGTTCAAGTTGTTTGGATTCAACATTTGAAATACAAGTGAGGAAACTAACTCGAGTAAACCGGTTTCTTGGGAAGAGTTTTAGGGGCTTTGGTTGAAGCTGGGGAAGCTTCCCCATCGGCTTTAGCCTGTGTGCTCTGTTTCTCATTCTCTGCCTCTGCTTTGATTCTGAACTGAGACTGAGATCGAAGATAGAGTCTTCCAGATGAAAATGGCAGTGAAGAGGAGATTGTAGAAAGAGAAGAAAGCTGAGACAGAGTCGCTGAGAAAGCCATTGGAGACACCACCACGAAACTTTCTCTGTGTGTTTGTTGGAGAGTTTGGGATAAGACCGCAATGGCCTCTCAGAACTCAACGGTCTAAGTAAAGCACAATTGAACCAATCATAAGGTGCCACGTAAGTGGCTCAAATAAGTTTCCTCTGCTTTAGGATTATGTTATGATAAAGTGGATTATATTCTCAGTAAAGTTTTTCTTATGATGTCTGTTTTTTTATGAAACACAAGTGATCAAACATATAGAAATCCTTCCACGTTTAGTTGATTGATTAAAATAACAAAGTCATAACTCATAAGGAGCATCAGGATCTAAACGTTGGCATATACATACAACAAAAACTTACACAACCTCTTGGCTCAATCTTATATTACAGAAACCAAGAAAAAAAAGAAAAAAAAAACAGAGAAGAAGTTTTAGCTCAATTATGAACTCTAGATTCGAGTTTCATCCTTTCGGAGAGGAAACAACATTATGAAGATGACGATGTTGGTGATGATGAAGAAAACGATGAAGAAGAGGAAGAAGACGTTTTGAAGGATTCTCTTAGGACTAAGGTTACTGGTTTTCTCTTCTTCAGCTTCACCACCTCTCATTATAAGTTCTTTAAGCCGCTTCACATCTGCTAATTTCACAGGTTTTAGTAGAAAATCCTCTGCTCCTTCTGTCATGCATCTACATACAAAAATTCTCAAAAGTCAGATAACAACGTTTGAGATTTTATTGTATATCATAATTAACTAACAGCCACTTACTGTTCTATACGAGGTTGTATGTTCTCAGACGACATTATCACTACTGGTATTTCTCTGAATGCCGAAGACTCCTGGTTAGAAAACATACAACAGAGTTTTTGTTTAAGTAAAAGCCTCATGCAAAACTTGTTCTCATAAGAAAAAATTGGAAATGGAATAATTGTTTTACTTTGATTTTCTTGAGTAGTTCATATCCTGTTAGTCCAGGCATAGAGTAATCTGTCACTATTAAGTTCACCTTCAAATCCTGTAATCAATTTTTTTTATTAAGAACTGGTCATATAAACCGTACATCAAAGGCAAACCCTTAATGATATTGATACACAAAGGCTCAATTTTCAAGAAACTGATCTTTTATAGGTTAAATCTCGTGATCCAGATTGTTTCAACTATTAGATTTCTTGGGAGCCAAACCACCAAGTTTTTCAATATTGAGTTTATTTGGTCAGAAAAAACATAGAGGTTGTCCCAAAAAAAAAAAGTAAATGAAAACATAGAGGTTTGAAGAAAGGAAGAAAGAGAGAAACAGTACCTTAAGACCAGAAGATCCTTTGTCTCCATCTAGACCAAGATACTGAAGAGCCCTAGTCCCACTCTCAACAGTCGTCACTATATAACAAAACCCATGAATTTTCTATCAGAAATGATAAAACGTATAAGACACCTACCAAAACATAATCAACTAGGTACCTTTACAAGCAGAGATCCTAAGCAATCTCTCAATAACCTTACGATCAACAAGACTATCATCCACAGCAAGAACATGTAACTCCGAGGTATTAGAAGAAGGAGAAGAAGATAAATTTCCTAGTGCCATTGTTTTCTCTTGGGAAACTGAAAGAAGCGTTGTGGAAATTTAACGTCAAAGAAGGACACAAAACTCAAAGTGTGAGTTAAGACAAGGAGTTACATAAATAAGAGAGAGAAGAAAAGTGATGGATTTTAAAAGACAGAGAATCTAGAGGATCGGATTTTGTTTGTGAAGAGAATCTAATAGATCTATGACTGTGATGTGTTCATGTGTTGTCAGATAACGTAATCTAGTGTCTTCACGGTCAAAAATCTTTTTCGAGGGACCTTTATGATATATTTACAATCTCTTTGTCTGCTCTTTTTCCTCTTATCCGACAACGACAACTCTCCTCTGTAGTAGTAGTAGTAGTCAGTCAGTAATTTACAAACTACTGTTGTCTATTTAATTACTTTTACTTTTACTTGTCTTTTCTATTTACTAATGTTTGATGGGTAATTAGTAATGTGTGTTTATCATGTCTTGATAAGCTAAACACATTAATGTCATTATCTTATCGGGGCTCCATAAGACTTTTTTCTCTCCATTCGACAACGACTATCTTACTATCCCTCCTTACCATAACTACTGCCAAATCTTCTACAAGTACCGTATATTACTTGCTTTTACTTACCCTTTTTTCTTAAACGTTTATTTTAAAAATCATAACATTAATACAAAATAAATCAGGAGATCGTGATCTATTACTAGGCGGATTTTGGGATGGATAAACTTACTTGAGCTCAAAGACATTCCATTATATTTTATTTTGTGTCTATATGGATATGAGCTCAATCTTAAGATCCAACTAGATTTTGACCCGCGCTTGAAAAGCGCGGAATTTTTTTAGGATTAAAAATTTATATAATTAGGTTTTCTCTTAATTTAAAGAATATTTTGATATAAAATCAGTTCACCAAAATTTGTGGTGATGATTGTTTTTCATTAGTTTTTAGTTTCAGTTTTTATTTTTAGATTTTGGTTTTGGTTTTTGGTTTTTAGTTTTTAAGTTTCTACTTTTCATTTTCAGTTTTTGTTTTGGGTTTTTAATTTTTAAACCCGCAGAGTTAGTTTGAACTAATATTACCAACAAACAAATCTCAAATAATCGAACATCTAATTTAAAACTGAAAAGATGACAACAAATTTTAAAAAAAAATTGAAATAGTTTATTTTGTAAATAAACAAAGAAAAAATATATAACATTTGTTTTCAGCTTTTGGTTTTGGATTTTAGTTTTTAGATTTGGTTTTTGGTTTTACTTTACATTTTTTAATCAGTAAATTATTTAAGAAAAATAAAACAAAAAATTATTTAAAAGTTACCATTGAAATTTATCAAAACAAAGTGATTGTTATTTAAAATAAAAAAATATATTAACATGTTTTAAAGTACATGATTTAAATAACATGATTAATAATAGATAATTTTGTTTTCTTAAAAATATTAAATAACTTTTGAGTCTGAAAATAATAATTGATTTTTTATCTTTCAAGGTGAAAAGTTTATTCAATGTTTTTGGAGTTCTTTCTTAATACTAAGCCCAAAACCCAAACTATATTATTTGTTCAGAAAATAAAAGTAAGCCCAATACTATATTACATAAATAACCACTGGTTTAATTTAAGTATAATTAGTAGATTTCCATATTCCATATTTTGATGATATATATTCTTTTAGAACATTCCATATTTGTAGGAGAAAATATGTGTTTTCAGTATACATATAGATACCTGCCGTATTTTGAAGGTAGTTTACATTAGAGTCGTCTCTTTACATTAATTGTGTTGGTTTAATTTAAGTAATACGGTTCAATCAATCATATGACTTATATTATTTGTAATATTCTAGAAAGAGTCCAAATTTAAATGACAATTTGTATCAGTAGATAAAAAGAATGACTCTATTTTAATAGAGTAGATTTGAATATCCAGAGTGAGATTACATTTGTGGATCGCACCATCCCTTTAGAAATTAGCCAATACCTCTCCATATATTGACATATATCCAAGATTAAAAATTAAAAACATTATTACAAAGTATATTCATGGAAAAAATTATACTAGAACTTCGATGAAGTTTTCTATATGATTTCTCCATTGCACTTGCAGATCGTGACTCATTGACAAAACAAGGAAACCAACTCGCATCTCAACCCTTCACTAGCTGTATCAGCCACTTCAAATAAACAACTCTTTCAGTAGATATGCACGACATGCGTCGGAAGTTGGAAAAAATAAAAATAAAAAGAGGTTGCATTAGCCTATTAGGTATGTAGTTCCCTATCACTTAAAACTTCGGGTGAGACTGGTAATTTTGAAAAACTGAATAACTATTTAAGTAATTTACGGAATCTATTAGTAGTCGTCACTCGTCACTGTAACTTAACCACTAACTCACGTGAGAGAGAGAGAAAAACAAACCGAACCGAACCAAATCAATGAACCGTCTCTTCACCAAACCCCTCTACACTTCCACCGCCGCCTCAATCCCAAAACCACCACCACCAGATCCCGCCGCCGCCATATCCAACTTCATCCTCTCCTCCCCCACACCAACCCTCCCCTCAACAACCACCCCATGGACCCCACACCTCGTGGACTCAATCCTCAAACGCCTCTGGAACCACGGCCCAAAGGCTCTCCACTTCTTCCACCTCCTCGACAACCACCACCGCTCCTACACCCACTCCCCTTCCTCCTTCAACCTCGCCATCGACATCGCCGCCCGTCTCCACCTCCACACCACCGTCTTCTCCCTACTCCGCCGCATGCGCTCCCTCCGCATCGGTCCCTCCCCCAAAACCTTCGCGATCGTCGCCGAACGGTTCGCCTCCTCCGGAAAACCGGACAAAGCCGTGAACCTCTTCCTCAACATGCACGAGCACGGTTGCCACCAAGATCTCGCTTCCTTCAACACGATCCTCGATATCCTCTGTAAATCCAAACGCGTAGAGAAGGCTTATGAGTTATTTAGGGTTTTTAAAAATAGGTTTGGTGCTGACGTGGACGTGGTTAGTTACAACGTGATTTTAAACGGTTGGTGTTTGATTAAACGGACTCCAAAGGCGTTGGAGGTTTTAAAAGAGATGGTTGAGAGAGGGGTAAAACCTAACCTCACCACTTACAATACAATGCTCAAAGGGTTTTTTAGAGCGGGGCAGGTTAGGCAAGGGTGGGAGTTTTTCTTGGAGATGAAGAAACGTGTGGGAGTTGTTGATGTTGTGACGTATACAACTGTTGTTCACGGTTTCGGTGTTGCTGGGGAGGTTAAGAGAGCTAGGAATGTGTTTGATGAGATGATTAGAGAAGGTGTGTTGCCTTCTGTGGCTACTCACAATGCTTTGATTCAGGTTTTGTGTAAGGAAGGTAGCGTGGAGGAAGGGGTTTTGGTGTTTGAGGAGATGTTGAGGAAAGGTTATGAGCCGAATGTGACGACTTATAATGTGTTGGTTAGAGGGTTGTTTCACGCTGGGGAGTTTGGTAGAGGTGAGGAGTTGGTGAGGAGGATGGAGAAGGAAGGGGGGTGTGAGGCGAATTTTCAGACGTATAATATGATGATGAGGTATTATTTGGAGTGTTGTGAGGTTGAGAAGGCGTTGGGGTTGTTTGAGAAGATGGGGAGTGGGGGTTGTTTGCCGAATTTGGATACTTATAATGTATTGATTAGTGGGATGTTTGTGAGGAAAAGGTCTGAGGATATGGTTGTGGCGGGTAAATTGTTGGTTGAGATGGTGGAGAGAGGGTTTGTGCCGAGGAAGTTTATTTTTAATCGAGTTTTGAATGGGCTTCTTTTGACTGGGAATCAAGGTTTTGCAAAGGAGATTTTGAGGGCGCAGAGTAAATCTGGTAGCCGGCTTACCAAGAAATTCAGGCTATGAATCTCTTTATATGCATGTGAAAGGCAAAAGACATTGCATTATTGGAAGTTAATGCAGACTCACTGTATCAGGAAAGGCATTGTACAGAGAGGATAGAGCAAGAACATGCCAAATGCACAATTGCTTTATTATGATGGGCCAAAAATTCAGTGTGTTTTACAGTAGCTGTTGTGTCTGAGTATTGATGATGGAAACTGATACAAAGTTGGCAATTTTGATGTAAATAATTGATTTCATCTGAATTACTTCCCAAATACTTGCTCCTGTGATTCTCCAGTTCAGGAACATGGTGTGAATCCACAGGGTTAGTTCCTCTTTCTTCAGTTACAAGATGATCTCGTCTTGAACACTGACGTTGAGTGTCTTGTTTGGAAGAACAATACTGCTGGTCACCACAACCTCGTCTTCAACTGCAACCGAGTCTCCTGAAACCATTATGTTTCAGGTTAGTTTTCTTTCTATAAGGAGATTTTGCAGTTTTTCTGAAAGATAAGGTTAGGATAAAAACAGTTTACCGAGAATTGTAACTCCGAGTTTGGAGTTGTAGATGCCCTCAGCCTGTGATCGACAAAGTATAGCTTCAGGTTCATGATTACGAAGGACACCAAACATAAACGTTTAAAGGTTAGAATCTTAAGAGATGAGCAGAAGAGAGAAACATGCCTGGACACGGGACCATCTTCCGATAGAAGATTTCCACCCAACGATTGCATTAGTCACCACTGCATTTTCCTGGGAAAACAGTCACTGAAGAGTCAATCACGAGAAACTTTACTTTCTTCTTTAGTCTCTACTGTAAGAAGACATACCATGATCTCAACGTCATCAAGGATGATACAGCTGATAAGCCTGACGCCGGGTCCAACACGAGCATTTGCAGAGATTGACACGTTGGGACCAATCTGTTAACAGACGAAATAGAATGTCTTTATGATAAAAGTGGAATAATAAGAAGTTGCTTCAAGAAGAGATAAGCCAAAGGTAGCTTACCTTTGCTGTTGGGTGTACTTTTGCAGAGGGATGTATGAAAACATCACCTATCACTATGGCATTCTTTGTTCCATCACCACTAGCCAACACTTGGGGAGAAGTCAACCGGAATTGGGAAAGGTAGAGCCCAGAGCACCTCAGCGACATTCTGCGCAAAAGTCAATCAATACGTAAGAGACATAAACACTTGATTCCCTGTTTTAGCTGCTGTCTCTCCATGCAGATTAATAGAAATGGATGAAAACACAAGGCATACCCTGGAGATTTGATTTGCTCCCAGAAATCCATAGTCTCGTAAGTATATAGCTGCTTCTTCCCAGCCAGAGGTGAAAGGATGTCTTGATCCAGCCTTACAAAATCTGTGGAGTTCCTATTTGGAAGAAGTTGAAACATATTGTTTTAAGAAGATGATTCAAAGGTTATTTCAGTTAATGTGTGAAGAGACAGTCGACAAACCTTGTCGCAGGTTGAAGAGCTTCAACGCTGGAAACACGTCTCAGAGTTGCTAAGACAAACAAAAGAGAACAAGAAACAGATGACAAGATTGATAAGGACTTTGACGACAACACACTTTATGTTGTAAAATGTTTGTTATTTCTTTTACCTGTATCTTTCCATTGAGAGGAAACATCTCTTATGGCAGTAAAAATGTCAGGTGTAAATACATAAACGCCGCAGTTAATACGGTCACTGACCTGTGTTTCCAAGATTAAAAAAAAACATTTAGAATAAAAAACTTGAATATGCTGAAGAATTCGAGTTATCTCAGTGATTTATGTACATACAAAAGTTTCAGGTTTCTCGGTGTAATGAAGCAGCTCATTAGTAACTGGATCTGCAACAAGTTCTCCAAATTGGCTGGCTGATTCAGGAGAAACCTATAGAACAAAAACACAGAAGCAGCTTTGGTAAAATCGACCAGAGACAAAAAAATACAAGTCTCATCTTTATGCTCAAATGCATACCTTGATCACAAGAAGAGTGCCAATCCCACCATATTTCCGATGAGCCTCTGTGTTATAACAGTATCAAGATCAACAAGGATCTTCAAAATCAAAAGATGAATCTGTACAAGATCTCAGGCTAATAAAAAATGTACATACCGAGCATTTCAGGCAAGGGGAAACTGCAGCAAACATCACAGTTAAGCAGGAAGATATGAGACTGCAAGAAAGTAGACATAAAAAGTTAGATGTGAAGAAGAAACATTAAGAGTTGATAAAACAATTGAGCACAATATAATGAGATTTCTAACCGGGTCATCATCCATAATTAGATTTCTAAAGTGGTACAGCCCACCAGCTGAACCATGTGGCTTCTCTTCTCTCAGATATCTTAATATGCATAACCCCAACAACAACAAAATACAGAGAAGAAAGATCAGAGCTACATTAATGAGCCACTGATTATGCAAAAATGGAGGAAAGACACTATCAAAACCTGACGGGAACTTTGAGTTCATTGGAAATGGCAGAGACATAAAGTGCAAAGTCCCTTTCCTCATAGAAACCAACAAGATAAATTTGAGCTAAGTTTGGAATCTGCAGACAACAGAGGATTAGTATCATCATCATCATCATCATCATCATACATTGATCTAAAAGCTGAAAATGAGGTGAAGAAACATACCCTTTTACAAGCTGAAATTGGGTGATGCACCATTGGCTGTCCAGCAATAGGAAAAAGAGGCTTTGGAATATTCAGAGACAATGGTCGGAATCGAGTACCTGTGGATCCCAAGATTTGGATAGAAACAGAACACACACATAATCATTCCGACCAGAATTGTCGTAATGTAATAAGATGTTCTCACAAACACAAATCCAAATCTAACGAATTTCGTTTAAGATCGAGAAGGAGAACAATTTTTTGAGTGGTTTGGTTTGGTTACCTTTGGTTGGACCACCGACCATGATCACAGCCACAACTTTCTCATCCATTGAGCTCCCCATTTCAGACAAGAACACAGATCTCTCTAAGAAAGCCACTAACTTCACCAATGTTAGAGTCACGCAGAACAGAGGATTTTTAGAAAGACAGTTTTTATTTAAAAAAGACCTCTTTATCAGAGTTTTGTAAGGGAAAGATCTAATGGGTCGGAGAAATTGACAAGAAAGGAGAGGTTTTTAAGAAGATGAAATCGAAAGTGTCAGTAGTAAGTTGTGGTTATGGATAGAGATCTAATAAGGAGAGCTGTCTTGTTCTGGTTGATGGTGATGGTGATTGGTCCTAATATAAAGTCACACACTCACCACCTCTTTTAAAGGATAAGCGCCAGAAAATCTCACACACACACATCTCTTCTTTGTTTATTTATTTATTTTCTATTAAGAAAAGTCCACTAATCTTTCATAAAAACTCTTTTTCTAATCAAGTCTTGATTTTGTATTAAATGCCATGTGAGTTTTCAACTTTGCTGTGACTTGAAGGTGACATAAAATGGTATGCATGATGTTGCTGCACCATATCCCCTAGAATGGTGCCCCCAATGGTTTGACCTATTTTGGCAACAACAAACGAATCACATAAGCCTGACTATATTTCATAATTATCTTGAAGGGTCTTACTCTTACATATGACCAGACTTTGACAGATTGATAAAAGCACAAAGCTTTTTTTTTGAGTATTTGCATTACTTAGTAGTAGTAGGGGGATTTATACCATCCCCATGATTTATAAGCCTTCAAGATTTTTACTTGCTCTTTGCTGACAATAGGACCAAAAGCCTGGATTCTTCTTGTAAGGGGTCTAAAATCTTTATGTTTTGGTCCATTCCACAAGCTTTTTCTATAAATTCAGATGCTATGTTTTCTTTTTGATTTAAAAAAACGTCATAAGACACATATTCAACATAAATTAGACCAAGGGTCCTAGGAAACATCTCATTGTCTAACTTGGACTATTCACTTCTCACAGGTATGGAATAAGCTAGAAGATATGAAACACTTTGTTCGAACTTACAGGAAGAAGAAACTGGGAAGTTTCACTGCTGGTGTGAGTGTGACCATTTTCCAGAAGCAACCGAAGAGAGCACATTCAACAGCTATTTAATATCATTTGCACTGCATCAGAACTTCCATTTCTAAAGCTTAACCGGATACAAGTCATGCCCTACTAATTGTAGCAATCAGATACCAAATCCCTTATATGACTTTATTGTGACATTCACCTTCGTCAAAATCAACGTCATCAAACACAATGAGAGGGCTTTTCCCACCAAGTTTTATAGAAACAGGCTGCAACAAGGCAACGAGCAATGTGTAATTGACATTGTTCAACAAAAACAAAAGAGAATATAACAAATATATGCATTACCTTAACCAAATTAGATAAGATTAACTTATATCATTTGGTTTACAAATTTAGCCAACATCAACGTAGGTGGACATGGGCATATACAACAAAAGTTACATATATTTTGTAGTCAATCTTATGTTAGTTTGTAAAACACCTGCTAGACAATGATACTTACAACCAAATATTCATAAAGTTGTGTGTCCAAATCTGTATTTAAACGCCCAACAATCTGACGAAACAAAAAAGTAGTAGTCTTTAAATTCATCTAGAAACAAAAGTCGCCAACAAATGAAGTTCCAGTCTTTTAAACAACGTGTCTAGACAAATAGAGAAAATCCATCGTCAGATAATAAACACAAAAAGACAAGAAGTGAATTAAAATCACGTGGAAAACAAGAAACACGACAGACCAATACAGTCTCACTGTTCCCGCGTGTTCCACTTTGTCCTCTCTTTTTTTTCCACGCGCCAGTCAGCACACTTCCCAGTTCACTCTCTCTTCATATAAATATAAATCCACACAGCCGCAAACTCAAATCAAAGCAGAGATAACAGAAATAACTGCAAAATCTCAAACCAAAAAAACATTGTCTTAAAATCTAAACCAAATCAAACCAAACCGAACCGAACTCACAAATGGTGAAGAAAGCGATGAAGGAGGAAGAAGAATCAGAGATGAGAAACTCGTCGTTGCAGTCAAAGTACAAAGGCGTGAGGAAGAGGAAATGGGGCAAATGGGTTTCAGAGATCAGACTTCCCAACAGCAGAGAACGCATCTGGTTAGGCTCTTTCGACACTCCCGAGAAAGCCGCGCGTGCCTTCGACGCCGCTCAGTTCTGTCTCCGCGGCTGCAAATCCGATTTCAATTTCCCCGATAATCCACCGTCTATCTCCGGCGGAAGGTCGTTGACGCCTCCGGAGATCCGAGAAGCCGCTGCTCGATACGCAAACATCGCTCAGGACGATGTTATCAGCACACGAGGAGAAGAATCGGGTTTGTCGGAAATCCGACCGGAGTCTCCTTCAGTGTCTGAAGTAGATATGTCTTCAGCGACAACGTTGGACTATGATCTGTCGTTCTTAGATACGCTTCCGAGTGATTTTGGGATGTTTCCTGGGTTTGATGACTTCTCTGACGGCTTCTCCGGTGATCAGTTTACAGAGGTTTTACCTGTTGAAGATTTCGGTGAAGTGATTTTTGATGAGTCTCTGTTTCTTTGGGATTTTTAAATTTTTTACAAATGTAATTTTTTTAATTTTGTGTAAAGAGTTTGAATTGTTGTTTATTCGGGTCTTAGGAGAGTAATCTGGATATTTTTGTAACTCGGAGCTCCAACGACCCGGAAACTTATGATCATTCTTGGTTGATTGATATCATTCCTACATTTTGTTTTTGTTAATTAGTACATAGCAACTATACATTATTTCTGAAGAATATTCTTCGCATAAGATGATTTTGGGGAAGATATTCGAATTAGAAGATAGTATTATTTGGCCCATAAGATTGAAGTTGGGCCTAGGTCTTTAATCATTGTGTAAACTGTACAGTCCATATTTAAAAGTGATTAGCGTGTGGGGTAGGTAGGCCCTAGCTTAAACAACTACAACCAGATAATGATGATGATAAAGACAAAAGGAGGTTTTCTATAAATAAAATAATGAAAACATCATCTAATTACGTTTGTTTGGACTTATTAATGAAAACTACAATTTCAACATCAATAATTAAAGTGGAAAACTAAAAAAGATTATAACTGGAATTTAACTCAAGAAGAGAAACGGTGGACAAACAAACCTACAAGCCAATTTTTGACATATTAAATACAAATAGTTAGTACGAATAAGACTAATAAATAACTTCAATCCAACAAAGCACGGTGATATTACACATGAGAATGATTTTAAATCAGGAAAATAACCAGGGGAAATTATGATTTTATGAGAAAAAAAAAAGTTAAAAGGATAAGATTCCACAATCATTTACAAAATGCCACCTAATTTTCTGCTTAAATTAGAAAACAATCACTTTCAAGAAAGTAAACCCACTTGTCTGAACCAATACAAAAAACCACCATCTAAAATAATAATCTAGGTGCTAATAAATACTAGAAAACAATCCACACTTTAAGTACAGATGAATTGGTCTAGACTCAAAAAAGAACTACATTTACATAAAAACAATATATGAAAAAGTCTTGGATTCCCAAAGAATAATAAAAAAAAATATTAGAAATAGACACTTGAATCTTGATGGAACTAGTGGGTCCCAGTGTCATCATACCCACCAATGTAAAATACAAAGAAATTAAAACAAATAATATGAGCCTGCTCATTTCAATAATGGTGTAAGAATAATAATATAAAGTAAAATAAATAACACACAGAAAACAATAATAATAATGATAAATAAATGGTGGGCCGTTGTATATATCAATCATTGATCATCTCACAGAAAACTCCAAACTTCCAAGAAAAACCAGTGGGCTCAAAGTCTCTCTACCTTTCTCTTCTTCACTCAGATTCTTTCCTATAAGCTTGCGTTCTTCCGTTTCTAGTTTTCATCTCTCTCTATATCTCAGTTCTCTCTCAGAGTTACTCTTACTTTGCTTCTTGATCATGATACTAAGCAAGAGACCTCATCTAATGATCCGAAAACTATCCGAGATGTTGGTTCCAAGAAGCCGGTCTGCTCTCAAACCGGAAGATCACTCAGCGAGTCCAAGAAGTCCGTTAGATTTGAAGTTTCCATCACCGGTTAACTCAAAACGTTACGGTTCAGGTGGTGTCGGTTTAGGTATCGTTGCTGCGTTGGAGGAAAGTAACATTGGTATTAACCGGTACGATCCGGTTTGCTTCTCCGGGAGATTTCGGTGCCCTGAGATTGATCTGTCGGAGGAGGAATACACTTACGTGACGAGCCGTGACGGGACGACGAAAGTGTATTATAACGACGACGGGTTTGAATTGTTTGAAAACCGGTCGGGGTACGATGTTGGGAGAAGGCATAATAAACCGATGGTTGAACCACCGGTTATTAAGAGACAGGTTTTTAGGAATGATCCGACAGAGTTTCTGAGCTCGTGTTGCTTGTGTAAGAAGAGACTTCAAGGCAAAGACATTTACATGTACAAGTAAGTCTCTTCGCATAACGAATCTTTATAAAAAAATATGAATTAAAAATAAAGATTTGTAAACTCGAGACAAACCCAATATTGTAAATCCCGAGATTTCTAATTATTTATATTTTTGGTTGGTTTGTGTGCAGAGGAGAGATGGGATTCTGTAGTGCAGAGTGTAGATCAGTGCAGATAATGAACGACGAGAGAAATGAGCAATCTAAAACGCAAGTTTCGAGAAACGTCGACGTTTTGAGCTCTCCTTATGCCGGTGAACAGAGTTTCCCCGCCGGGATATTCGTATTTTAGGATAGCATAATAATTTATTTATATAAAAAAAAATCAAAAGAGTGATCATCATTCTATTTTGCGTAAAAGAAAAAAAGTAAGAAAAGAAGAAAATGAAAAATTTTGGTTAGGTTAAAAGCAACTTGTATAGAAGCTTTGCTTTTGGTTTTGATTTTTGAATAAACGATTAATGTTTATATGTTTGGTTTCTGAATCAAATAAATCAATAAAAAGGCTAGAAATGATTTTACAGTATATTTTTATCCAATATATTTTTATCAAGTGAATGAAAGAAACGCTTGTATAAATTACTTATCCTTTTACCAGTCATTTGTGTATAGATATATCCAAATTACAACTACCTTTAATCAAAATGTAATGATGTATATAAAATTATAAATCCTTCATTTTCATCTAAAACTCCAAACTTGAATAATTCATAATTCCAACTCAAAATATCAATGAAAAATTAATATCACTGTCAGCTTCAAGGTTAATGACGAAACCAGCGTTGAATGTAAAATAAAGACTTAGCAAAGAAAATAAAAAGTTAAAATAAAGACCTAACACAAAGCTAAGTGCAATCAATCCATGTGGCCCCTTGGATGTGCAACTTGCTGTATCTGGGCCCGTTGTCAAAAACTAAAACAAATGATTTGATGAAACGTTCAGCTATTTCGATAAGATCAAGTCCGGGCCCGCTTCTGCCCGTTGTTCGTTCAGACATTTTGTTCAAAACGAACCAAAAGCCATGACCAGCCTGAACTTCCATCACCAAGCCTGGTCTTATCTATCTACTTCCAATCTTTCACCACCTTATTGGATATTTTAGTAAGTTTATCTTCTTTTTTGTAAAAATTTTAGTAAGTTAAACTTGTACATCTGAAATGTTTTTACTACTGAGCTTTTGTATTTCTTTTTACCAAGATAATTTCTTCATTTTTGTTTGTTTGTAATTGTCAAATCTAAAAACGCTAATACTAACGAATAAAAGGAAGCTTCAACGCAATAAATAGGCAAAGAAAGAACACTTGGACTAAATAAGGTACAGATGATATTAATGCCCTCAACACAAAAAGGAAACCGATGTTTCTTACAAGAGTTGCAAGCAAATGTTGAGATCGGCTAATAGGAAGGAAAGGCCTATTACACAATGGCTTTAAACCCCCAAAAAAGTAGCAAAACTATAAGGATTAGTTTCATACAGATATACTGAGTTTTTTTGGCGCATTGAACAAACAAACCTACTAGGAGTGAAATCAGTGGTAGCTTGATATTTAGTAAACAATGGGAGCATCAAAAGGATCTTTCTCAAGTCTCAACTCAAAGAGATTACTGGTGACCGAGCCAAGTTGTGTTAGGCTTGGAAGATGCTTCGGTTGAACCGTCAATCTGGTACGGCGCCTTTGATGAAATCCTGTAAGAGATGGGAATGATAAGAAAATTGCTTTGAACAAAGAAACTAAATTATGGAGATAAATAACACTAAAAGATGCAATTAATTAATTAATTACCTATCCTTTCTCTTCTCAAGAAATCGATGAAGTGAAGCTCTTCTAGCAATTGGGAGTTCTACATATTAAAAAAAAAACAAAGAAAGTTAAGAGCAATAATCTAGATGAGCCAAAGAAACAAAGAGAGACAGATATGATTATTACCACAAGCTAAAGTGGCCGCCGTGTTGGTTTGGATTGGCTCTTTTGCTGCTGCGGTTATTACAGAACTAGGAGCTGGATTTGGGGTAGTGGAAACAATCTCTTTTTGAGTATAAGCACTCTGGTTATTGTTCAGCTCAGATGTGAAGCTTTTAGCACTTCCTTTGTGAGCCAAGTCAATGACTTGTTTGGCTTTCTCAGCAGGAAAATCATCAAACACCACAACTTGACCACCGTAGAATATAGTCAATGGAGCAGATAAAGACTCTGCCTTCACAGCTCTGTTCAAAGGTTAAAGACAAACCCACAAAAGTTAGTCAAAACTGATGAAGAAATCTAGTTTATAGTGTATTAATCAGATAACAAAAAAACATTACTTAGTCTGTATGATCTTCTCAACTTCTTCCTTGGCTCCAGAGGAAGAGGAAGAAGAAAAGCTTGATTGCCGAGGAAACACGATATCGTTCTTCGGTTTAACGTCTTGAGCAGCAGAAGAATCTTCAACAGGGAAGAGATTCATCATCGTCTTGGGCTGACGTGTCACACCAAAACCTGATCCAATAAAAGACTTAAAGATCATTCTCTAAATCTTACAACGGGTTTATCCTTTTAAGACAAGAGACAATTATGTTTCAAACCAAACATAGAAACATATAACTCACATATTCATAAGATAAATACATCCCGGTTATGATTCAGTTTCCGGTTAACATATAACCGATTTTCAATTGTTCCTTTTTAATTCAATCCATGGTTTTGTCGGATTCGAATCAGAACGAAACTAAAAACAGATCTAGGTCATGTAGAGAGAGATTACCATTGACATCAGGGTTACATGTCATCCCTAAGCTCAGATCTCCGAAGCTACCCTTCTCCTTGAGGTAACGACTCAACCGACTACATGTTTCCGAGAAGCTCGGTTTCTTCTCGAGTAACTTCTTTCCCTGACCAGAGAATTCCCAACACTCAGCAGAACTCGACATCGTTTCAAATCAATCGATTCGATAAACCAAAACCTTAAAGAAAGAAAGAAAGAAAGAAAGAATCTAAGTGTTGTTGCTTTGCTTTCTTCAATTTGTTCTTTGTCTGGTGTGACGAGGAAGAAGCTCTCTTTATTTACTTTCTTCGCTCTCTACTTGCAGATACCAAACAAAAACTATATATTAAAATTAGTAATTGAGCATATACAACACGTGTTTTAATTAAATGCTCCAACTTTATTCTAACGGCAGACAGACCGACTCTGTTTGTGTTCACCGTCACCCACGTCTACTCTTTTTTAAAAAGAAAAGAAGATGAAAAAAATATTTGAAAACTAATGTAAAAATTAGGCGTAATTAAAAACTGATGCACTTAAAACAAATCTCAAATTAGTTGATTTTTGCTCAAAAAAAAATTAGTTAATTATAGTGTGTGTCGAAAGCCTTCCTACTTCTAGTTTTTATAATAGGCAAGTGGCTTGCTGCTTAAACTCTGTATAAACTATAACGTCCACTAATCCATTTTGATCCATAAATCACGTTTTGTGATTTTACCTTATACTTAATTTAATCAATTATTAAAAAATTGCGGGAAGCTCACGTCTCCTCCACAAATGCCATCCTCACGCGTGTCCATTTTAACTGCACAGATTATCCATTATTTTTTAGTTTTTTTTTCTTATCACGCACGTGTATGATCTTAGCCTGTTAGGTGCAAACAAATATCCACAGATATATAACTGAGATCTGACCACAGTAAAATCATTATTTTGGTGACTAAAAATACATGAAACAAATATTAAAGGACTATTCTTAATAATATAAACCATGTAAATTGTCTCGAGATACCTGTCTGTATCGCCCTCTGATTGGTCCATATTTATTGTTTTGTTCTTTGGTTTGATCTATATTCACGGTTCCCATCCTTGAGACTACCTCCACGTCTATGTATTCAGTTACGACAGGAATATATATCTATTTGTACTGTATAAACATTTTATTTATTTATAGCTCTCTTATAGTACATGTTCTGTGCTGAGACACGAGATACTTTATCCATTTGTGTATGCAAGTTGGTTTTCACAGTTGATTACTTCTTTGTTGTCTTTCACATGTTTAACAGTATAAAAAAACTTACAAGAAGGATAGTTTGGACAACTGGAAAGATTTTTAACAATTTAAATGATGATTAGTTTCCCAAGACATGTTAAGCAAAGTCCAGAGGCATTGATAATAACTGTGAAGAGTTACTAAATTTAACAGAGAATTGGTTTGGCATTTTTCAGAGAGTATGATCAACAATAGTGAAATGAAATACTACAAAAAAAAAGGCTACAAAGATTCCACTCAAAAAGTATCACACGAAAGGCAAATCCAAACTCTGCTACGTTTGCTCTTGTCCAAGTTCTCTAGCACCTCAGATCTTGATCCTAAAAAACTTAGCTTAGCTCTTGGTAGTTTAACAAACTGTGTTGATTCCCGCACCAACATATCATGGGGAGTTCTTGTAGACACTGCACAGAATCAAATACATGCTTCAAAACTCAACCTTCATCACAGCACAATTTATATCTTATAATATATCAATAGCCATCCGCAAATACTTCATAAATGATCCATCTCGAGCAGAGTCATTAATATGTTAGGACCAAAGAGCAAACTGCTGTCCATTGATGATGCATCAAAGAATAAATAGAAGTTAATGTACCTTACAGCAAGTTATACAACCAGGTTTGGAGTACGAGCAATGATTGCTTTCACTTGTAAGGAGCAAAAATGATGCTGGAGTTATGGCCACCAAACCCGAAAGAATTTGACAATGCTGCTTTAATGTTCAATCTCTCCTTCTTAGGACCCACCAGCAAATTTGTATCCTGCTCCAGTTTCGACACATCAGGTAGAATTATTAATGTGGACACATTAAATGGTCTTTGTGTAGTTTACTAGTATCGAACTATGATCATCTTGGAATAACAAAATGCCAAATTTTTTTTGCTAACATACCACTCCATTGTCTGGACTCTCGAGGTTGATATTTGGATGAACCCATCCTGTCCTTATTGCCTGTAGTACACAGCAGAAATTTAACATAAAGTTGTGAATATTGGTATAAACATCAGTTCTTCCCTCATAGATACGTTGATTTGTTGTCTTATATTAAATGTATTACCTGCACAGTTGCGACAGCTTCTACGGCCCCAGCAGCTCCCAGCAAGTGCCCAATCATAGATTTTGTGGAATTTACTTTTAGCTGCCACATTGTGCGGGAGAAAGTAAAGAAATCACACGAAAACTACCATGGAAACTTGTAACAACTCCTAATATACAGAACTTGAGGAGAAGTGGACAAAGTGAAAGCTACCTCAGGATTTTGGCCAAAACAGCGAGCAAGGGCTTGGTATTCCTTAAGGTCTCCAGCTGGTGTTGAGGTTGCATGTGCATTTATATAGTTGATCTGTTCCTTTGAAATCCCAGCATCAGCTAACGCTCTCTCGATACACAGAATGACACCAGCCCCTGTGGATATAAATGACATATGAGATTTGAAAACTGCAGTTGATTGGCAAGATATACGAAATAGAGGTAAATGAAACTACCATCAGGGCGAGGCTCGGTCATGTGGTAGGCATCACATGTGAAACTCCCACCAAGGAACTCTGCATAGATAGTTGCTCCTCTTTTCTGAAAAAAATAAATAAATCAGGATACATAAGTTCTGAAATTTTTTCCCATAGCAAGAATGAAAAAAAGAAAGCTTGAAAGTAAAGTATTATTTGTGGAAAAAAAAACACTCATGAAACAAGGAACAGCAACAAGAACGAATGCGGTATATACCTTAGCATGTTCAAGTTCTTCCAAAAGCAAAACTCCAGCTCCCTCTCCCATCACGAAACCATCTCGGTTCTGTTTATCAATCAAGACCAAGTTTATAAAATTAGAAGATTATCCAAACACAACACACTCGTTTTCACATTAAATTCTTTCAACATTGCAAACATCTAAGGGAATCAAGACTTGAACGAAACAATAGAGAAGTATTACAACATTTGGACAAGAAGAAAGGACAAGAAATTACGGAAACTTACGCTGTCCCAAGGGCGTGAAGCTTTTGTGGGATCATTATTCCTTTGTGAAAGAGCACGGCATGCAACAAAACCTCCCAACCCTGCATTGGTGCACACACGATAAGTTATAAAGAATAAAGTACCCTAGAGTTCAAGAACAGAGGAAACAATCTAAGATAGGAGAACGAATTTGCACCTATTGGAATAATAACTGAATCTGAGCCACCACAGAGCATTACATCCTGAAAGATTTAGCAGAGAGACAGACATAGTCTAATAAAATTTAGAACCAGAAGAAGTCTACCAAACAGTCAAAATCCCAAGTGGGTGGAGAATACTTACAGCTTCCCCTTTAATAATGTGGTTTGCTGAATTCAGAATGCAAAAGTTGCTTGTTGCACAAGCAGTTGAAATAGAATAGTTTGGCCCCATCCATCCCTAATACATGACCACAAAGAAAGGTAAGTACAAAGTTGCTGGCGGTGATCCATATATAAATATTGCATAACATAAAAATTTAATCAGACCAGATCCAAAGCAAGCATAGCAGAACCCATGTTTGTTGTTGCAAAAGGTACACAAAAAGGATTCATCTTCTTGTAAGAGATCTTCATAGCTTCAATAGCATCTTGAAAGACCTGTATCAGAAACCTCGGTCTGAAACTCTTTCCATAGTCTCTAAATCTAAATGTTCAAACACGAGATCAAGAAGGTACCTTCATGCCTCCCATTGCAGAGCCAATCAAAACTCCACATTTGGTTTTGTCAAACTCTGCCATTACTTCTTCAGTTACGCCACCATCAACCAAAGCTTTCTTGCCAGCAGTAAGAAGATAGAGCATGAACTTGTCCATCCTCTTAGAGAGTTTTGGAGCAACCCATCCTTCAGTCGAGAAGGACTTGATCTCTCCCGCAATTCTCTTAATAACAATAAAACAAGAAGATATAAACAACAAAATCAAATGGAAAAGCTTCCAAGAAATTCTGATATATAATAATATTTGCTTACCGTAGGAAATTCAGAACAATCAAAATTCTCAATCTGGCTAATACCACTGTTGCCTTGTAGCAAATTCTCATAAAAGGTATTGGGGTCATGACCTAGCGATGTTTCAACTCCCATCCCTGTCACAACAACCCGGCGCTGCTCTGTAGGAGGTTTCATATCAACCTTGGCTTCCTTTTCCATATCCATCGCAACAGCCATGGCTCCACCTAAAAACCACAAAATACATTATAGTCATGAGAGATAAACTTAATGAATGGCATCATACGCAAATAAGTTACAGGAAACTAATAAACACTATTTCACAGCTACTTGTCCAGGTCTCCATACTCTGTATCCTCATATTGGGCCTAAACTAACAACAATGTGCTTGCGTGTTACACAAAATACAACTCAAATGTTATTATACCAGATAAGTTACAGCCAACTAAGATATTTATACTTAGTTCCATTTCTTTTTGTTCATGTCTCCATACGCTGTATCCTCGGACTCCTTATATAGAGTCCAGTATTGGGTCTAAACCCACAAAAAAATGTGCTTGCATATCACACTAAACACACAGAGAATCACACAATTTTTTTTTTTTTTAAATCAATATAAGCTGGGATTCCAAATCAGCCTACTAACTTTACTTCCAAACTGCAATCATTGGAGGATCAAATAACATGAAACCCATAACAGCATCGAACTAAAAAGAGCAACTTTACTAACAAAAACAAAGCTTGTCAACTTTTCAGACGAAACCCATAAATCAAAAAACAAATAAAAACACCTCCCAGATTGGTCAATGTTATTACCGGAACTAGCTGGTCGATTCAATCTCGTCTGGTTCCGATTGAGAGAAACAGTGTTCGATCCGAACAGAGAAGAAAAGGCATTGTTGTGATTATTAACGAGAGCCGGGTGAATGGTTCCGGATCCAGAAAAGGCAGAGCATTTGGTGGTGGTGAGCTGTCTGCTTCGACGACTCCGCCCGGTAGATTTGAGAGCGACGGCGGATTGTCGGGAATCTCCGTGAGAGACGGACATGCAAGCGGCGACGAACCAGGTGCATAACGGAGATGCGTAACAAGCACCAACCATGGCTACGAATAGTGATGAGAGAGCAGAGGAGGAAGACGACAAAGAAAAAAAGAAACACGGAAGAGAGAATCTAGCGGAAGGGGAAATGGGATTCACGAGTCGATCTCGATCTCTCTTCTTCTCTCTCACGAGGCGTCTCTGGGATGCGTCAAATCGTGTGTTTGTGTGGAGAGACGCCAAAAAATAATACTTAGCCTTCTTTCTTCTTTAACGAAATAAAAACACAACACAGCGTTAGAGAGAGAGAGATAAAGATTTGCATATACCAATCGATACCTTTAAAATCTCAAAATTATCGATGACCAGAATTATTTTCTTTTTATTTTTATTTTTTATTCATTTATTTTGAATCCTAAATCTGAGAGAACATTTTATAAACATTTTATACATGAAATAAAATAATGTTACATCACCATTCTGTACGATATATCGAAATTAAATAATGTTACATCAACATTTTGTAATGTTGATAGTAAGATTGGCATTTTCTACCAAAAAAACACATCTTGTTTATTTTAGAGTAGTGTGAAAAATTGAAAACACACAATCTAGTGTTTTTTTTGTTAAATTTGTTAGTTTTAAGTTGTCGAACATTTTAAACATGCAGTAGATTATAATACACACAAAACTACACATAACCATTTTTTTAATATTACATTATCTGAATAGCTTTTTAACTTATTGTTTTAGTATACAAATAACAATTTTTATTATTTATAGTAGAAACTGATAGCTATTTTAAAAACTTCTTACATTATTTGAATAGCTTTTTTAGTACACAAATAACAATTTGTATTATTTATAATAGAAATCTAATTTACTGCAGCAATTGAAAACACAACTAACAACCACTACAAGAAATAGTTCAGTATGACTTTCATTTTCATTAGAAAGTAGGAGTAATTAGAAACACTCTTTTTCCCAAAAAAAAAAAAGAAACACTCTTTTTCCAACTAATTTCTCATCACATATAATCATCATTGGAAATGTTGTCAACAATTAATTGTGGTTAGAAAAAGATGAAGAACAAAATTCTGACCATTGTAGATTGTATAGAGAATGTCGATGAAAAAGTTACATTTACGAGCAATGGTTTTTATCAACAAACTGTTTTGAACACTTGTAGAACTGTTTAATTATGGTTAGCTTCATCATCAAATTATGTATTATAGATTAGAGAGGAAAATCCTAAACTGCTTTTGTGTGTTTCACTTCCATCTCTTACTCTTAGCTATAAACAATGTAGACTTATAAACATCTATGCACAACACAGATCTGGAGACCTCGGTTTAATCGAAGGAATGACATTTGGATATTACTTTGTTTCTTTTTGTATTATGGCAGCAAAGTGTTGCAGTAGGTGATAGCGATATGGCAATGTCACCACTGTTTTAACATTTACTTCCTTTCGTCCTTTTTAATACGAATCTTCAGCAATAGTATTGATAGAAGTCATGGATTAGCTGCAATTAGGGGTGGGCACGGATCGAATATCCGGGTTTTCGAAGGTATTTGTGATTTGCTTCGTATGTTACGGATATCTGATTTTGGTATTTGCTTTGATTCGAAAAAATACGGATATCCGGAAAAACGGATATCCGGAAAATAAACAGATATTTGCGGATATTTACGAATACTTACGAATATCTCATCCGTTACAAATAATCTTATATAAATTTATTTTGTAACATTTTTTAACATGATATATAAAATAAAAAATAAAGAAGTAGTGAATTTACT